AGCAAAGCGTGCAAAAAGCGTAAATACCGCAAAAAGTGTGAGGTACGAAGACGAGCCTTGTGGTGGGTGCGCAGATATTCAAATCAAAGTAGAACAACTGGAAAAGGAGCTTGCTGATTTAAGGACGCTCGTGAAACAGACTGTAGTCGGTCAGAACGTGTCCAGTGTTAGAATCCCAAAAACGAAGGGCAAAACGCAAAAAACGCGAAAAAATATCTCCTCGGGGGAATCTTCAAACACGAGTAGCAACTCAACAGCCAAAACCGCAGACGCCGGTAACAGCAGGACAATGAAAATGAAGCCGCCGATAAAGGCAGACTCGATTCCCCCGCACGATGTCTTAAGCGATGTCGCAAAAAAATTACCTGTCGCCGAAGCCATCTCACCTAAGCCTCTTGCTGTAAGTGATGGGATTTCTGTTCTGTCTGGAGACGATATACCTGGGTCATCCAGTCTACTCTTGCCCTCTTGTTCTGGCAACCACCCCGAGCGCACTACAGAGCACGTATCTGAATGCGAAGACATAATCTCGTGGGTAGAGGGGAGAGGGAAACGCCATGACAGGATTCTGAAGTCACAGCCAACCCTGATGGGTTGCTCGGGACAGTCGGTAGACAGTAAAATTGTGCGTCCAAGCGATGACTCCGTAAATTGTCCTCGCCCACATGCAGCGCATTCACCGGAAAGACAGAGTAAGGAGGACCATGCTCGCCAGCAGTGTCTGGTTATCCAGGGTTTGTCAGAATCTAATGCAGTCAGACCTGAAAACCGTGTCTCAGAGGACCTTGCTTCTTTTCATGGTCTGCTTAATCAATTACTGCCGGAAGACACGGAAATAAAGGTTCTGAAAGCATTCCGGATAGGAAAAAGGAGTGAAGACAGGACAGTAGCACAACCACCTCGCCCTCTCAAAATTATGCTGGAGAACAAAGAGCAAATCAAGTTTATCCTCTCAAAAAAACCGATCTCAGAAACACCCACAAACAGGTTCTATTTCAACCCGACTATTCACCAGCGGAACGGTTGAAACGCCGGGAACTTGTTTTGGAGTTAAAATCAAGACTGAAGGATGGCGAACACAACCTGGCTATCTTCAAGGGGTAGGTAGTTCGGAAATATATGCCGTTTCAGTGGAACCAGCCTGTAATACTACGAACGACGACAGCTACTCAACTAAAACAGACACCTTCGCTGAACCACCTGATCAAGGCGCCAACACAATTGAGCCCGTAGCGTCCAGTGATGTGACTGAAACGAGGCATGCAAATGGAACCAATCAGGTAACGGAAGAGCCTAGAGAACACGACATCCGCAATAACGGTGTAATGCTCGCAGCAGTAACAAATGCAACGGGAAATTCGGCTGGTGCAAAACTGAGGTGCTTGTACACGAATGCCCAAATACTCATGTCGAAATAAGACGACCTAAATATTTGCCTCGCCGAACTGTCGCCGGA